GCCTCGGGGGAAGTGCGAGCGGCCACCGCCGCTTCCGGAGCTTTGAGAGCGGACACCGCCGCCTCGGGGGAATTGCGAGCGGGCACCGCCGCCTCGGGAGGATCGTGAGCGGGCACCGCTGCTTCGAGAACATCGTGAGTGGGCTCCGCAGCCTCGGGAGGATCGTGAGCGGGCACCGCCGCCTCGGGAGGATCGTGAGCGGGCTCCGCAGCCTCGGAGGAACTGTGGGCGGACACCGCTGCCTCAGGGACTCTGCGAGCAGACCACGCCGCTCGCACCGACATCAGCGGAGGTTCCTGCACGCTGCGAACCAGCCCGCGATGCTCCAGGAACGGGCGTGAGGTACTGGGTGCAGCAGACGAGGCCTCTGACGACCCTGGGATTGCCGCGGCGCGGTAAAGGAACACACCGTGTAAACAGGGGTCTGGGTCCAAATGCAGGCTTTTATTAACTGCAGGGGAAAACAAAGTAAAAACCAAAACAGAACACAAACAGATCTGAGAATCCGACACAGGCTCGAAACAGAAAGCTGACTCTGACACAATACGGCCACGTAGAGCTTGCATCAGTTCCGTAACAACACTTATCACAACTAATAATCCGCCCAGAGAGGCGTGGGGAAGGCGTATAAATAGCCCTCAGGATGGGCAACAGCTGTGTGTGTGTGAGTGTGTGCACAGGTGTGTGGAGTCAAGGTAACGGAGTCCGGGAGGATGGGAAGTGGCGACCTCTGGTGGTGAGAGGGAGAACACCAGACCCAGACCCCTGACAATAATAACATGATTTTTAATTTTTAATAGATACTGCTACGGACTCTTAAAATCACAAGACCAGTCTTTTCATATATGCTGTTTTCTGTAGATTCATGAATTTGTAGCACACCTGCTATCCAATAATCGCAATAAGCTTTGTTACTTTGAATATGAAAGAAAGTCTCAGCTTTAAAATTGTCAATTTTATCACACGATCCAATCATCTTTTCCTACATACTAGGGATGTAACGGTATGAAAATTTCATATCACGATTATAGTGATCAAAGTTATCACGGTTATCAATATTATCATGGTTTTGTTAAAATTTGATTAAAATGTTCAAAAAGAACTAATACACACACTGAAAACATTTCAATAACTTTTATATTTGAAAATCAACAAACAACAAACACAATTAGCAGCTGTATGCACTTTTTTTTTAGCATAAACATTAAATTAACATTAACATGAAGCCCTAATAATAATAATAAATCACTT